CTCAGCTTTTAGCAATGACCCGGCTACAGAAAGAGATCAGTAGCAAATATGAACATTGTGAAACCCAGTAAATACACCCATTAGAATTGCAGCAGTACTTTGTGCTTCTTGAAAGAAAGCTTACATTTTAAAAACAGAAAGTCAGTGAATTATATGATGCTGAGCATTTCAACATTTCATAGTTTTAAGACTGCCTACAAAATGGTCTCCTAACATTTTATGCACCTACCTTGGGTAATCTAGGTGGGAAACTATGGAAGTCATCCAGGAAGCTAATTCTCCTTAGAACTGACCTGTAGATGTTCATAGCAATATACAGAATACAAATACTATTTAATAGCATATACAGAAATTCCTCACTGAGTAAGAGTGATCCACTAACACTGAGTCCTGTAGAAAAGGGGGAAGTAGGAACAATTAGTGTTTTATACTACACATGTACCAGAGCATGCTGCATGGCCAATCTTTCCAACTTCTGAATGCTTTTTTGGCAGCCTTATTTGCATTTAATATAGTTATTTTGGAAACACATAAATAACTGCGTAGCTCTAACTTGCCCTCCTTTCAGAACAACAACCAACATATAACATGCATCTTATTTCTGGCACACTGCTTTTCCTGAGATGAAAACTAATTTCCTCCTATAAGCCAATTTCCAAACTGATGGATATAGTTTTCCTGCAAGCTTGCAAGAAAGGTTCATCATTTTGAGATTCAGACACCACAGGCCATTTTTGAAGGAACCTACAATGCTAAAGAACTAAGGAAAAATAATTCCTAAAAACTGAGATAATGCCACCCAGCATTTATGTAACAGTCAATCGTCCATTGCCATAATAAGGACTTTAGACAAGCACTGAATAATCTCTGTGCCCCATTGCAGAAGCTAGTCTAGACTACCTTAATGCAACCAGGACACTTGGGATCAACTTCCTTCCTCTTCAGTCTGGCTGCATAGAAAAGTACTTGAAGAGTCTTGGCCTAAAGATCAGTCTCTGAACTGTAACACAGCCGGAGTAGCCCATTGATTTAATTTGCCTCCCAGAAGGCTTACCAACAGAACATGGTCAGCAGCATATCCAGGATGGACTTGTCCAGTGCCATAACTTCTGGCCACCGATATTAGTTAAACAAATTAGCCAGCACAGAAGGAATTTCAGTCTTTGTGTATGGACTGGCTGGCTACTAATTAATCCATGTGGGCTCAAGCGAGGAAGTTATACTGTGATAGATGCTGATACATACTGTGACAGAGGCCTTAAGATAACCCATTTACAGATGAAAATCACATGTACTTTAGTGCAGCAAAGGCCGACAAATTAAAACTATTTTAACTGTGAAATGACTGAGAAACATGACTGCTTAAAACTGCGAAGTAACATTCTTATGAGCAAAGTGCCTTTAGCCCAGAGAGGCTACAGTCAACTGAATTTGGTTCCCAAAAGAGACAGGATTAGAATGACTCAGTTAATCACAATCAGTGGATGAGCAAGTGCACTCTAAATTATCAGTAGAGAAGCAGGGTTGCTGGTGTGTCAATACTCCCTGATATATTAAGAGCAGCCAGCAGGACTTAAAAAGTATTGCATCACATTGTAATTATCTCACTCTACTGCAATCTGCCACTGGAAAAAGTCAGTCTCATTCCTTCTCTTCCTTCCCTTTTCCCACTGCTCATTCTATCATCTCTCTTGCATCAGATCAAGCCACTGTGCTGCCACAATAAGTCCTGAGTTAGCTCATGAAGGTGTGAGGAGGGCAGACTCGAGACGATGAAGTACCCCTATCAGATCATCAAGCTTAGCCAAGATCACACTGCAGCCACACGATCACTGCATCTGAGACATGGAAAAGGCAGGAACACATCAGCCAGGTTGGAGGATAACAGCAGAACTGTCCTTTCTGGCAGCAACCCACAGTTTGACTGTGTAAGATACACATACCTCCCGAATCCGTCTTTGAGAAAAGCATACAACACTAAATATACAGTTTTGCTGCCTTGCACTGACAAACACTACACCTCAGATGAGACAACAGGCATCATAAGCTTGCTCTAGTGCTGATGATCTGTCTGGCACGCTAGAAGACTCCAGGGTAGAATTCCAGAGGTCGATTTAACTTCAAAGTAGTAGCTCAGGCCTTTTGGACAAGAACCAGTTCCTGTCAAGCTGAAAACCTCTTTATATGAACAAGCTCCCAACAGACACTAGAAGTTTCCTTAACTTTGAATTCTGCTTCCCTCATTTTTGGTCCATTAGAGCAAAGCCCAGTGGTGTTCGCTTCCTAGACAAACAAAACTTGTGAAGAAACAGGGGGAACAGATACAGATAAAGATGATCAGTAAATCCTTAGTTTTAGAGATGAGCAACAAGGGCAAATGTATAGTAATGTTTTCTCCCCAAACATGAGGAGACATCCACCTTTTCCTATGACTCATTTTGATATGATCATAGAATCATTTAGGTTGGCAAAGACCTTTAAAATAGAGTCCAAATGATGATCCTAATGACCACTGCATTAAAGCAAGGGTTCTCATTTCAACTCTCGCTTCCTCAGTTTATTTTCCGTATGTATATGGAGAAGCAGGAAATAAACTTTTCCTTGGCCCAACCACAGTCTTAATTTGACAACTTCGGAAAATTACAGAACACATAACCCTGTGTGTCTGGGCATATTCAATAAATATTCTGACAAAATAAGAATCAATTCCCTCCTCACTTTCAAGTGAAGACATTTCTTTTTTTATTGTAAAAAGTACAGTGAAAACCAACAGAATGCTGAAGTACGTTAAGCAGCCTCATTCCAGTAACACAGTAGTCTGGGTGATCAGGTCACCAGCCATTAAACATTAGTGTTCAGCCACAGTCATTTTTTCCCAGTGTTATTCAATTGCCTTTTGAAAACAAACTCTAAGCATCTATAAGATCTTCTATAACTATACAGTGGACCTCATCATCATGCGTAGAGGAAAAAGTTTTGCTTTGGATCTACTAACACAAGTGATCTCTTGTTTTGTAATAAACAGTAAGATGTAGTCATATCTTACTCACCTTCTTTGTGCTACTCATAGCTTTCAAAACCTTCCACCACGTTTCTCCATTCAGGTAACTCTTTTCAACACAAAAGTATCCTAATCCATTTCATATCTCCTTCTGGAGAAGTATTTCTTACTTTTAATCACCCTTGTCACCTTTTTTTAACTTCCATAATTCTGTTACGTCCTCAGTACTATTGTAAACTTTGGCAACCACTTTACTTGTTTAATTATTTCTAAGCGTTAAGCTGAAGTGCTCATGAACCTGCATATAAAGACTTTGCCTCCCCCACCAAGCCAAATTTATCTCTTCACATTTACTTTAGTTTATTTTCTCAGTCAGATACTCAGTACCACAAAGCCCTTCGAGTCCTTCCCCATTTTTACTAGGAATATAACCCCTCTCATCAGTATTTCTACCCTCTTTCCCAAAGATGTAGTAATCCCAAAGTGACCATTACTCACACTGTCTATTCTACATTTAAATCAACTACCCATCTATGACAGAACTCTCCATTTAGTCCACTACAGGTATATTTCTTCAAGAATCTCTGGTGTAGAGGTCTGTCCATAAACCCTTCAGTATGAAGCACATCCAGACCAACTTCACACCAACCAGCATTATTTGTGTGCCCAACAATTCCTTTCTAGAACTCTACTAGCCACACACTGCATGACTTGCCTTTACAAAAGGTATGCTAACTTCACCCTCATTACATGTATTTATTGATTATTCTATGTCTTAGAATAGAATATATGCTATTTAATCATATCAACTTTAACCACAAACAACGGAAGAGTTAGTTTGTGTGATCATCTTTTAATATAAATACACACACTTTTTAAAAATAAAAAAATCTAGCATTTTCTATTGATGTACACAAGTTTGCTCCTTACTTTACTAAATCCTGTTGTGAAGGGGACTTTTTTTTTTTTTTTAATTCTGGACTACTGTGCACCATTGGAGCTACTGACCCTCGGATAAAATACAACTGTAAGGACACAAGTTTTAAAGGTGGGAGGAACTCCAGCAGTCTCCCATTGGTTTTGGCTTTTTCCCAGTAATAATCAGTTCAACATTACAGCAGCCCTGACGCAAGCCCCCTTTTCCAAAGGGGCTCCCTTTAGTCTGGACATCAACACCACTTCCTAATAAATATAATTCCATTTGCCATTATGTCTTATTTCCTAAGC